GTTAAAGGCATTTTCTACGGCTGAAAAAAGGGTATTAAAATTTCTTGTTCAGATTCTGTTCTACAGTGTACATACAAACGCTTTTACTGAAGAAGAAGAAGAAGAAGAAGAAGAAGAAGAAGAAGAAGAAGAAGAAGAAGAAGAAGAAGAAGAAGAAGAAGAAGAAGAAGAAGAAGAAGGAGGAGGAGGAGGAGGAGGAGGAGGAGGAGGAGGAGAAGAAGGAGGAGGAGGAGGAGGAGGAGGAGGAGGAAGAGGAGGAGGAGGAGGAGGAGGAGGAGGAGGGGGAGGGGGAGGGGGAGGAAGAGGAGTTTGGGAGGAGTCTGCTCTGTAGGGTCAGTATTCGGTACCGTGGCTGACCAGATAATATAACTTAATAACACGGCACAACTCCCGGCTACCTCACGAGCATCGTTCTCTTGTTGTTGTTTCGTCTTAGTCTTTTTTGACACTTGAGATGTTGTGCAGTAATTTATTGATACTGCTCACACCGGTAATGGAAACGAAAGATTCGGTCACTTTTATCCAGCTATTAATTCTGGTGAGTGAATATTCCCTTCGGGGATTTAAATGCGTATGGAATTCGTTTCTTGACCACCATATTATTGAGAAAACATGTGGTGACTCCTTCAACATGAATACACAACAACTGTTCAAAGAACTTATGAAAAGGTAAGTTGCAATCATGTTATTTTCATTGCATTTGAGGGAGCTTTGATTAAGTTGTCGTGGCTCCTGTTTTACCAGTCTTGAGTCGGGAACATTTTAATGGCCTGGAGTGACTGTAGAGGTAATGCTTGTGAAGAAGGCAAATAAGTGACATGTCTTTTTAGTTTATTTTTGACACTTGCACCACAGTTGACGAGTTCCTAAAATATTCGTCTAGGTGTGAGACTGTTGTTAATATTAAATGGACTATTCAGCCAAATCACAAGGACACCTCCACTATTTATTCGTTTTTAAACTCGTGCCTTTCAGGAAAATCGTCCAATAGCATAAAGACGATCATAGCTCTTTCGAAAGTTATGAACCACCCTTGATAAAACATCGGCGTTTGCAAGAAATCCAAAGATCAGCAGCCTCAGCAGCCTCAGCAGCCTCCGCTATAGAGGTTCCAGCTTTCTCTGGTGCTGAGGTGATCACTGGTCCATCAGATCCCCATGTTCCTACCCCTGTAAAGAGTGCACGTCGACGCCTTCATTTTGGCGACGATGATTCTGGTGAAAGTGAGCATCTGTCAGAGAGTTCAGGTGTGTCAAATCCATTCGCTGACTGGAGCGAAAACAGAGAGTTCGCTGATGTTGCCATTTGCAACATAAACACCAGTCCATTGTCCCTTGACTCAGCATGAACCAACTTCAACGCCGATGGTGGGAGAGCGCAGGTCTTTGTCTGATCTCCTGTCTGAATTTGACAATGTTCCATCTCCTTTGTCACCGATGCCGCCTTCGCAACAATCATTTGAAGAACAAAAAGTTATTCTCGAGAATACAACTTTTCATTTCTCAAATTGTCTCTTACCCAAAATGCAGGCGAACCACCATTCTGTGTCTCTGAGGAAAGTCAGTCTGTTGCATTACCAGTGCAACCCATATCAACAAGCCCAAAAGATTTTCTGCCATTGTCGCCATCTCAGTACATAATCCCTTTATCACCAGGTCAACTTGAGGAAACCTCATCTACTTCAGATTAGCTGTATCCGACTCAACCCCCTCGTCCTCAGATCAGCTGTACCAAACCGCCTTGTCTCCATCGCCCACGATAACACCCGTTGCATCTGAAAGACGAGAAGTACCACTGTTTACTCTTAAGGAAAAGCACACCATTCTTCCTCCATGCAACTGTAGAATGAACTGCATCGTGAAAATCCCTCCACCAAGACGTCAAGTAATTCATGAGGAGTTTTGGAGTCAACCCTTTAATGATCGCCGAAATTGGATTTTTCAACACCGCTAGAAGACTAAAAGTGACTTTTCCAAATTCTCGTTTACGCTCTCAAAAGACTGCGGTAAACAGGTCGTCGTCTGCTCTGTGTTTTTTTCTGCACACCCTCGGATACATCCAATTCCGTATTCAACAGTTTAAAAATCTCAGGTGCTTCTGCAAGTGACTTGTTTGTCCCTAGAGACAAAAGGGGTGCACAAACACCTTCCCACGCCTTGACGGGAAGACATTATTGCCGCAATAGACTCACATATTGAAGAGTTCCACCCTTCAGTGAGCCACTACAAGCGAGAACATGCACCTAATAGGTGGTATTAGTCTTCGGACATAACCATTCGAGAAATGCACTCCTATTTCACAGAGACGTATCGCTCTCTAAAGGTAGGGTACCAATCCTACGGTAGGCGAGTGCAGCTAAAGAATATTAGATTCGCCGATCTTGGAAACGAGATGTGTGAGATATGTCTGACTTTCTCACACCATGAGCTCCAGCCGCCCGCACTGGACACAGACTTGAGACGTGTCAACTGTACACATCCCACAAGAGACGGGTTGCATCAAACCGTAAACACTAAGACAAAATAGAGAGAAAGGCCCTGAAGTAGGGTCCGAGATCATTGTATCGGCGGACATGCAAAAGGCCGTTTTGTTGCCTTTCATGCGGGGCGTCAAAAGCTGCGTCTTCCGAAACTGCCTGGTAGCTTTCCATGAGACGTTCGCACCCTTAGGACAGCAGGCGAAAAAGAAAAGCCCAAAGCAAGTCAGATCTGTCCTCTGGCATGAGGCAACGTCCGGAAGGTCTGCCTCCGGCGTTACTTCAGCTTTTGTTAAAGCAATTTGTGACTTGGCTGAGGATGCAAAGGACATCATTATATGGGGTGATAATTGTTCAGGCCAAATAAAAATTGGTATTTGTTCACGTCCCTGGCAAGGCTGTTGAATGACAGCAGCAAACCTTTTCTCCACAGGGTCACTTTGAAGTACCTTGTAACGGGTCATACATTCATGTCCTGTCACTCGTTTCATGGTAAGGTTGAGAAGAAGAAGAATATGAGAAGGAAGGGAAGTATTTTCGGTTTTACCGATTTTGTGGCGACAGTGCAGATCGCTGGTGGGGGCCCGAAAGTATTACAATTAACTATTCAGACTTTGTAAATTGGGACAAAAAGGTCACCTCAGAGAAGCATGTAAACATTCCACGTATCAAACAGATGCCACCAGTGAGGTTTTTTAATCTGCGTATCGACCATACGTCAACTGTGATCTGATGAAACGCATGTTTTGTCCTTCCCGGGAAGAAAAAAATGCGTTTTATCAGATCACAGGTGATGTGAACGGTCGATATGCACGAAAAAAATGCGTTATGTCAGATCATCTCTGAAAAAAATGCGTTTTATCAGATCACATTGGAAATAAATGCGTTTTAACTAATCTCAAAAGCTAATTTATTTAAAAACTAGTCGCAGTTAGGCTTGCATAATTATATCTCAAGTTAGCTCTCGACATGTAGAATTCATTAGTGGAATAAAAAAAATTCCCGCCAAATTGAAAAAATGCGTTTTGTCAGATCACGGCAGATTAGCGTTTGTCATTGTCTAGCTGTAACAACCAACACACCATTTTGTTTTACTACAAGTGCAAGCATTTTATAAGCTTGGTTGCTATCTAAACTCTATCCAAACCTGAATATTTTGAAAAGCTGGAAACATCTCTATTTTTTGTCTTCCAATTTAAAAATTTTTTTTTGAGTACGGTAGCTTGTGCGGTCAGTAGTTACACTCTCAGTATTGGTTATAATCTATTAGGGTTTTTTTAATGCCTAGTGTAACAACTTATACATTATTGTGTTTTACCACAGACTCTAGCATTTTATGGGCCTCTTTGCCCTTCTAAACTCTATTTAAAGTTAAATGTGTTTTGAGAAGTTAGAAACATATACCGTTCTTTGCCCTCTACTGTTTGACCAACTTGTGATGTCAGTCGTTATACTCTCAGTACATGTATTGTTATTTTATAATCCTTCTAACTTGGACAGCTAAGGAAGAGACAAAATGAGGAAGAGTGAGAGAGAGAGAGAGATAGATAGATAGAGAGAGAGAGAGAGAGAGAGAGAGAGAGAGAGAGAGAGATAGATAGAGAGAGAGAGAGAGAGAGAGAGAGGGGGGTGGGGCAGAGAGAGACAAAGAGAGACAGAAAGAGACATAGCGACAGAGAGAGAGAGATAGATAGATAGATAGAGAGAGAGAGAGGGGGGGTGGTGCAGAGAGAGACAAAGAGAGACAGAAAGAGACATAGCGACAGAGAGAGAGAGAGAGAGAGAGAGAGAGAGAGAGAGAGAGAGAGAGAGAGAGAGACAGAGAGAGACAGAGAGAGACAGAGAGAGAGAAATAAAGAGAGAGAGCGAGAAAGAGAAAGAGAGAGAGAAGGAGGGATGGGGGAGGGAGGGTGCAAGATGAGCATCACGCAATGCATAAACACCCCCCCCCCCCCGGGCAAAAAAAATAAATTCAGAGGAGATAACCTCAAATGACGTTTCAATAATTTGATACAAGCCCACGGGGCTGCTTCCCTTGAATTTCGTTCCCTCAACCTACGACACGTTGAACGTCATCTCTTGAGGATTGTGTGCAAGAATTTGAAGTGCGATCCGGTCTTTTCCTGCTGCTCTGAAACAACATTTGCATTCAGTTCTGTGAGATACATTTAAAAAGATGCTTTTCTGTTTATTCATATGTCAACCAAATTTCAAGTTTGTTATATCTATATATATGAATCTAAATACATGTAGGCTAATATCTACGTATAATTCTCACATCTATCAATTCATAAATGTTTGAAAATAGTCTGTTGATTAACCAACTTATTTCTGCCACTTATTTTCTTCTGAAGGGACTTTCTAATAAGTTGTTAAGGGTGCGGGGGGGGGGGGGGGGGGGGATATTACATGTGTTTCATTTAACTAAAAGTATCCTTTCGGTATAAGTAATTTGGTATATTTGATTATAAAGACATCCATTATATGATATTGATACAACAAAAAACAAACAATAACAATAGTATATTATTCAAAATCATTGATTTATATTTTGAAAAGTTGTTCACATTAGTTGATTGCTTATTATTAAAAAGAGTACAATTAATAATTGTTCATTTCTTCTTTTAGAGAACCCTGATTTCATAAATATTCTTATTTTGCGTCATTTCTTTAAGGACGCATAGAGATTGTGTTCATCTTTTTGAGAATAGCTCAGATACACCATGAAGTATAAAAGGTACAGACTGATAAAACGTAATTGTAACATAATAATAAGACATACATCAAAGTCAAAATGAAAGTTAAGAGTGGATTTTTCTAAATTTGAGGCAGTTTTATACAAATAACAATAATATTATCAAACTGCCTAGATTCTACTTTATGTGTGTGAATATTTTGGAGTATATTCAACAATATGATGATATGATGATAAATAAGCAATGCATATGAGAAAAAATAGGAGCATGACATGGGCTACTCAAAAAAGCAGATAATACTGTACATTATGAACAATGCATATATGTATGTACATAGAGAGTATCGCAGATTAAGTTGTAATAAATAACTTACTCATTCCACAGTTTCACCAAACTTTTCAAATAATATTGTTGTTCTGATAGTCATCAATATCATTATCAAACAAGTTGCGTCCATGTAAAAAATATTTCTCATCAGAAGACCAATAAGTACAGTCAAACATGCTCTAATGGCTACCTGTCTAAGGCAATATCCTGTACAAATGACCACTTCCCACCCCAACCTCGCTTGTTGTATTTTTTTTTTCAAAACATCACTGCACTAGCAAAATGGCATACAGAGTGTTTGTGAGGCATCGTGGTGAAATCAGGCGCTCGTCAAAATAATGAATTTGAAGAAACTAGCATGTTTCAATCTATTTGGCTAGTTTTAGTGAATCTTAATTTTTGGCTCACCACCTTGTATGTCCATTTAAAAACACATTGCTGAGTGGATTTTATTGAAAAGAGTTGATTAAAGGCATACAAATTGTAGGTTACATATTTTACAGTTTCTAAAAGCTCTCAAGCTTTGGAAATCAATAAACTTGTGCTGCCATTTTCTCATTAATTTTGCCTCTGAAACCTCACACTCACACACACACACATATGTATACACACACCACAGTTACAGCGTTCAAATCCATTTGATCGATAATCTGTAGTATATAATTACAACATAGCATTAACTCTTTATTATCTCCGAGAGGGTAAACCCTTATGCCGGGCCCCTCTTTTTGTACGAAATCTAAAATTGACAAATACATCACTAAATTGGTAATTTAATCAAAATAAGCGAACCTATTTCAGTAATTTTTTATCTAATGAATGAATACCCAATAAAAGAGACCTGGTTTTGGCAATTGCTGAAAAGTAATCATTTGATGGCGAAGTCGTCATAAAGGAATGTGCCTCAGCCGCTACCAGCAACTCACCGGTACATCAGCTCCGACCGCGAGCCGCAGGGAGCAGCTTGCCAAAGATAAGGAGTTAATAAACCCTACTTTCCCCTTCAACAAGTCTCTCTTTCGCCATACTTTAAGTAATGTCTAACTACAAAATGTATTCTTAAAAAACAAATGGAACTTCCATTTGTTAGACTACATTAAAAAATAATACAAAATAAAAAGGTTAATCACAAGCTAAAACTAAAAGGAATGAATCAAACATAGGGAAATGGTGTCTGTTAGAAGCTCAGTCTATGACCACATCAACTTGATCAGCCCACAAAACAGCGCAGAAGTCTCCAAAAGACGGGGGCTGACTGCAATCTTCCTCACCAGAGCACAAACATTTCGTCAGCAAAATGTCAGGCAGTTTGACAAACTGAGTTACTTCTCGCAATTCTCATATGGAGATATTGACCAAATATCAACAATAGGGTCAAATTTGTAGGTTTTCTTTTGATGCTATATTCTTTATAAATGCATAACATGCTTTTTATTATTTCATAAATATAAAATGTAAAATCTTCACCTATAAGCGTGATGCATTTATTTTCATAAAGCTAGACTCTGAGAAGTAACTCATTTGGTAAGCATGCTTCACAAACGTCCAGATGTGGCAAGCAGCGATGCACCATGTGGCAGGAAGTGGAAAGCTTCATCGATGCAGAAACGCTTTGAGTGAACATGAAGTGTTAAGGACTGTAAAATAATATCTGCTTTTCCAAAGCCCTAACCCGGAAGACCTCCGACAGGTTCTTCCTCACATTCCCAACATACTGACACCTCTTTTTTTTGGTAAGTGCATCTCTGTCTTACACAAAGACCGAAGTCAACTTAAAGATAAGTTAAACTACTGTTTGCATCATTGTTTGACAGAGATGAGAGAATAACTGTAAAAATAATCTTCGTTTGGCAAAGAATAAGAAAAAATCCCATTAGACTGCAGATAAGATCATCCATACAGAGACATTGGCTGTGATAGAAAATATTGACTGCTATATTCCCAAAACTTGAATACCAGCATACAAAAAGTTTCCACACTTTTAAGATGAGAGAAATTTTAACACTGACATGTCATAAGCAAAGTTTAGTTTGAAATATGAAAACTTTAGCATTTTCAGCATGAAAAATATTGAGGCATCGTGGTGAAATCAGGCGCTCATCAAAATAATGAAATCGAAGAAACTGGCACTACTCTGTCCTTTTGGCAAATTTTATCAATTTTTTTTTTTGGCTCTGCACCTTCATTCAAAAACCCATTTCTGTGTGGAATTTACTGCAAAATGTTGATTTAAGGCACAAAAATGAAAATTTGCATTTTCAAAGTCACCAAACTTTGCAGGCCATTTTCTCACTAATTTTACCTCTTAAACCATCTCCTTCCATTGCAAATATCTCGACTTCTATTTATGACATATGATTATATTTTCCTCCAAAAGCAAGACAAAAGAACAAGCTTTCAACTGATACCAATACCCCTACATGACCAAAAGTTTCACAGGCCCCTGATTCCACCGCGTCGTACACATAGGTATTAAGCTACACATAGGTATTAAGCTACAAACATATGCGGTACCAATCAAAATGTTCAGAAAAGATTGAAGTTTTGATGTGCGAGGAGACAGCTGTAGTGCAAGTAAGCTTCCAATAAATGTTCAAGTTGTAGCAAACTTTTGTCTGCCACAATTGGTCTTCTATGTCACAGCAGAAGCCACAAGTCATCTTAACCTTTAATTCTTCTAATTTTTTTATTTCACTGAAGAAATATTCTCCTCTGCAAATGTACTGGTCTTCGTTAGACATTGACAAACAAACTATTATTATTATTAAGCCTACTATTACAAGCAAGCAGATATGTTTGTTGAATAAGGAAAACAAGAAAATGCAATGATGCAGTGTCTAGTCTATAAACGTGCCGACATCTATGAGTTAAAGCACCAAATGTCATCAATATTTAGGTAATAATATTGCCTGTATCTTCTTATTGTATTTTTTGTTTATTTCACGTATAGAATGTTCATTTGCCAGGTTTGTACGGGTTGAACTCATCCTTCTTGAGTGAGGCTAAACTGTGATTGACCACGCGATGATGAGCTTCGTCAGCACGGATTGCCAGGATGACGTCTTTCATCGTCGCCTCAGGCTGAAAGAATATTATTAGAGTTCAGTTAATTTTTCAAGGCATATCACACTGAAAAATGAATAGCAGTAATGTACAGAAAAGTTGCTTTTATAAAGCAAGTGGTTGGCAGGAGCTCTGGTGCAGTTTGCTCAATCTTTCCTATCAAACAGGTATCGTCCTCTCTACCTTCTTTTTTGTGTTGGTTACTCGCTAGTAACACCTCTTCTCTCTGGCACTTAAATGACCCTGTTGTGTTGCAAGTGCTGAAAACCTCTGTACTAAAAACTCCCTCTACAGAGTGTTTTTTTTGGAGAAGCAGCATCTACAAGTAAAGGCTGTGCTCTCCTTGCTGGCGAAACTTTGAATATTGGTATCCATCCCTCAGCCCACTCAGGCTGACAAACTAAACTGCAACACCTTACAATTGGAGTTGCAAGAAATCCATCTAGTCCATTTGGGTACTTTTTACACCAGAGAAAAAAAAAATTCCTATTCAGGAATCATGAAAAGCAAAATAATTGTAGTCCTTAGCATTAAACTTCATTTTGGTGATGAGGATCTTCGATAGAGCTTTGGAAGGATGTAGAATTAGAACATTCTCAAAATTTGGACTTAAGTGTATAGTGTTGGTGACAGCGACATTATTATGCACCACCGTGAAGTGTTTCTCAGTGTGTAGAGTGCACATAGAAGATTAGCTATGGAAGGAGTAACGGCTTTCTTATAGTAACTGTACTAGAAAACGACCAAAATTCACATGAGAATACAGAGGAATCTTACACTGAGTTTCCAGTATCTGATGGCCACGTCTGGGGCAGGCTGGGTCTTCCAGTGCTGCATGGGACCGTCATTAATGTCCTGTTGGGAGGGAAACAATGGCGGTAAGATTGTTAGAATAATGGTAAGTTAGAAAAATCGCAGGTTAGAAAAATGGTAGGTTAGAAAAATGGCAGAAAAGATTGTTAGGAAAATGGCATAAAGTGGAGAAATGACAGAAGGGATTATTGGAAACATGACGACCCACAGAGCACAAAGGTGTGTATATGTGCCCGGAGAAAGGTCCCAGTTGTCAGCATTAAACTATTTTTGAGCAACGGGGTGAAAAGACCAATAAAGTCATACTTGTAAAAAATTTAGTTCCATAAAAAAAAACACATTTTAACCATTTTTTAAAGATTTGTTCAAGTTAAAAGGATTTTCTAATATTTTAAGTCCAAAAACTTTTACAATAATTATTTTTGCAATATATTATACCTCTCCAAAGTAAAAAAGTATGCTAAAAATTGGCTCAACATACTAAGGATAAAGCCATTTTTCTCCAAAATCAGTATGTTCAGTATCGAATTTGCAACAAGAAATATATGACCTTATTTCAATATCCAAAATTTCGAGCAACTGGGACCTTTCTCCAAGCACACATACAAATGGTCTTCAATGCATTTGTGAGGTATACCTTGTTTGATTTGGGTACAAATTTTCATTATTAATATAAAAGGCATTTCTATCTCTTTTGGCACAGATTGACCGTGATAGGCAGAGTTGAAGTGGCTATACCTTCTAAATTAAATTATCTAAATATTGTGTTGAAGCGGCTCTAAAAACGTACATTAAAAAAACAGCAACTCAAAAAAGCAAAATAAAGCAAAAAGAAAAACCATACTCAGATTATTATAGGGGCCTATTCTTATTTCTGAATTTTATAAAGGGTAATTAAGTCCCTGCATCAGCTCAGTCTTGGTAAATTTACATTTACTTGATATTTTAACTCTAATTGAGACCTTGCCCCAGCTGGTACATCAGTGGCGTGTGAAACTGCCTGTATGCCTAGCCACCGCTACATGCTAGTGAGCGAGTCCCTATCCCCAGCCCGGCCCATCGGGGACAAAACACGCAGTTAAAACGGTGCTTACTACACAGGACGTTATTATGTTTATTTTTAAGATCTTTCTGAATTAGATGCTGGTAATGACAAGGACTACCCTAAGCATGATATGGAATGTGATTCTGATGATCATATTAATGTTAGTAAAAAATTGCTAAGGAGCTCAGGCAGAGGAGTATGGTAACCTCAGGAGGTCAGGCCTCTAAAAGGGTTGACGACTGAGCCTAAAATCAAGCTCCATTATTTTGCGAGCACCTGATTTCACCAAAAGGCAACACATATGTATATCTTACTTCTGAATCTTACAAATGATAAGTCCCATAAGCTCAGTCTTGGTAAATTTACTTTTGATGTTTTATCGACTGAACCCATAGTCAAATTATTAGGCCTACTTTAAAATGATATGTTCTTGTGCAGGACTTTAATTACAAACTACAATGAGCAAGTGGTTGGTGTGTGCTCTTGTGTGGTTCGCTCCAAATTCTTTCTTCATCTTTTGTCCTGATCCCTCCTCCTTTTTTATGAGTTTGTTACTCTCCTGTAACACCTCTAATCTTCGGCACTTAAATGACCTTATTGCGTTGCAAGTGCCGTTAAACTCTTACTAAAACTAAAACTAAAAACCACAATGAGGGTCAATAGTGAATCTTTACAGACTCACAGGGCTATCAGCTGGCGTTGTCAAAGGTACGCCCTCAAAGAATTCACACAAACCAGCTCTTACCTCCAAGCATTTGGTGTAGGTTTTCACAGCCTCCTCCTCCAGGTACCCGACGAACCTGTGGCAAAACTTGGGACTGATGATGTAGCTCACACCAAACATTGTCACAAACACGCCTGCGGACAGAGACATTTGTGTCACGACTCGGTGGAAAGACGCACTCGTCAATTTTGGGGCATATATGGAGTTATTGGTATCATCTTTAAAAGCCTGTCCTTTTGCCTTGCATATGATGAAAAATAATATCCATTTATCTCGAGTTCAAGTCAAGATATTGGCAGTTGGAGGAGGTGGGGGGTTTGCCTGGTTTCAGAGGTAAAGTTGGCAAGAAAATGGCCGCGAAAGTTTCATGATTTCCAAAGTTTGAGTGTAAAAGGCCTACATCTAAAAAGATTCTCTTAAAGACAAGAAAAGCTACTGGTATCCTTCATAAATTCTTCAAAATAAGTGATAATGGACAGCTTTTACTTTCATAAAACTATGCTCTACAAAATACAGTCGAAGGTATCTAAGGCAGCCATCCAGTGTGGAGGAGAAATTATGTGGTTGTCTTAGACATGTGAACATCTTGGACAATGTCTTTATGAATACAATATAAAAGAAAAAATGCAAGGGGGGAAAGTGGGAAGTGGTTGTTTGTACAGGTGATTGTCTTGGACAGGTGGCCATTAGAGTAATATTGACAGTAAAACAGTTACAAATGGATTGTTAAAGAGTACCTTGTGATCCAATGACGCACAGTCGGAAGAACAAAGACGGCTTCTTGAGCTGAAGGGCTGTCAGCAGATGCATGCGTTCATTCTCTGCCTCCTCTGCAAATGAACAAACAACCAGAAATATTTATAAATTACAAATATTTGGCTTTCTCTGCAAAGTCTGTTTTAGTTGGCCAAAGTGTTTTATAGGACTAGCCACACAGTGAGTTAGGTCGTACAAGTGCCGAAGATTAGAGGTGATACAAGAGAGTAACAAACACAAAAAAGAAGGAGGAGAGAACGATAGATGTTTGATAAAAAAGACGGAAGGAGCACACTTCACTATACACACTATACACTAGAGCACCCGCCAACCACCTACCTAAAAAAAGACTAAGCTCTAACAGTACGACTGCATTATTATAGTGGACACCGGTTAAACTAAATTCTGAGAGCAAGGTCCCCTAATTTTCTTTTTTTGAGCCAGATTTTTATTTGCCTTTAGAAGCTTCACTATCACACACATGAGACACAATTTCAACTCCTGAGTGGGGAGATAATTTTCATCAAGCATCTCAATCTTTTTGCTGGAATAAATTGTTTCCCTCTCAGCCCAGGGTTGGAAGCCTGCCCCTTTAATGATCAAAACTGTGTCGATGAGGTATAGAAAACATGTACTTAAAAAAAACAACCAAAAAAACAAACAGCTGACCTAGAGTGAATAAATCCAGCCTTGATCCCACTGCATGACTCTCTGTGATCATAAATGGGAAGATAATTTTCATCGAGTATCTCGGTCTTTCTTCTGGGATATTGATTCCCTCTCAGCCCAGGTTAGCCCTGACAGGCAGAAGGCAGGGTCAGAAGCCTGCCTCTTAAATGATCTAAACTGTGTCGATGGGGCATATAAAAAACCTACATAAAAAAAGAAGAAAACAACAAATTACCCCCTCCCAAAACATTTTTGTAAAAATGAATAAAAAATGAAAACATAAAAAAACAAAAAAAAAAACAAAAGACAGAAGAAAAATTTTTTTAACCCGCAAAAAAGAATACAACCAAAACCCCCCCCCCCCCCCCCCCCCCCCCCAAAAAAAAAAAAACCCAGCTGACCTAGGAGTGTATGAATCCAGCCTTGATCCCTCTGCATTCGTCGCAGCGACCGCATATGTCTCATCATGGCTGCCACCATGCCAGGAACGCCAGCCACGGTCTCCAGGAAACAGATGCGACTGAGAGGAAAAAGAAAAAATTCCATTACCACGGAAAATTATAATATATATAATATATTACACACACTCACACACACACATATTATATAATATGTTATTATATAATATTAATATGATATTATTATACATACACACATAAATAATATCACAGTTTGGCCATCTTTATTTAACTACCAAACAGGTTGACAAAACAATTAAGTAACCTAATGTTTTTCAACAATTCATTGACTATAGTTTAAGATGTATTATACTTTGATAGTCACAGTGACAAAATGTTTCCCTTTAATGTTTTTCCGGTATCATAGGTCTCCACCTAACCGTACAGAAACTGGTTTTCATAATGCTAGGCATTTTTTTGTATAGGAATGTTTATTCAGACGTAAAATTTTTAAAATTCATAATAGCATAAGTTTGTTGAGGTCTATATGATTATCTTCCAAGGACCAAGCCATGCTGAGAGGGATACAAAATCCCAGCAGAGAGATATTGAGATACATGTATTCAATAAAACATTTCACTGGAGATGGTGAAGTGCTTAATCGCTACATCACTGATGCCATATAAGGGCAAAGCTCAATGTGTTGTTCGTTGATGTAAAAATAAGAAAAATAACAATAAAATTATTGAAATGATTCGAACAGCGCACAAACCCCCTCCCCCTCCCCCCCATAAAAAAAGAAACAGCATCATACACCATCAAACAAAAATTATAGGCTAAAAATTGAAACATCTTTATTTTTACTTTGTTTTACCAAAAGCCCTCAAAGGATGGAAAAAATAAGTGCTTTCTCAAGTAATTACCAGGGTACTTGGAGGTTTTGGACTCTAGCTAGTTTTCAAGTATTAAAAAATTTAGCTAGTACTCAAGTATTAAAACACTTAGCTTGTACTGGAGTATTTAAAAACTACATGAGAGAGTACTCTCAGGTCCTGAACACCTAAATATTTTAACACTCAAGTGGAATCGAGTACTCACACAACCCTAAACCTGGCCAGCCTACATAACTTACTTGAGCCATTTCCTCTCATTTCTCTGTCCAAACTTGAAACCAGAGAAAATGTCAAAGCCTCCACGGAACAGCATCACCGTCTTGTGAGCCGCCTGGACAAGTGGGGAAAGCAAACATCAAATAAATTTTTAAAATTAAACAATAAATATAGGTGTTTTTACGCCCCTGCCACCCCCTTTCCCTCTGACACACATTAGATCATTTATGAAGAGGTCAGAGATTTGTGGTGCAACTTTTGGTCATACATGTCCTAATTTATTGAACATAGACAGTCCAGTTTTTGCACAATGACTTGTATCAATTTGTCTTAAAAGATCAATATTTTTGTAAACATCTGTTAGCTGTATTCTATAAAATTTCATAATGAATAGGCCTACTAATTTAAAAAATCTAAGTGGGTGGTTTCTACAGATTTTAAATTGTTTACAGCTGGGGCAATATCGCATTTGAAAGCAAGTCTGTAATTTTCATCTAATTGTGACACTTTCTTTATTGAAAGCATGTTTTGAGAACTTTAAGTGCAAAAAAAGTATTCACTATAAAATTAATTTCTTGTAACACGTTTTGTCACTAAAAAGTGTCATTGGTGAGCTGTAGGCCATATGCGTATACAAAATGTGTGTGAGAAGAGGGAAATGCTGTGAACAATACCATTTTCCACATCATGGAGATTTGTAGTATTTGATATAAATTTATGAAGAAAAGTTTTTTGTCTAGGCTCAACTGTGGTGGAAAATATAACCAAGTTAAGACAAATTGATACAAACTGTTAAGCAAAATATGGGTGACATTGAAGATAAGTTGCACCCCTAATTATTGACCACACTGTCAGGGCCACTCCAGGTAGTGAGGGAACTGACATTCCGGCAGAAAGACAGTGATACTCAAAAAAATCTCACACCACTTATCACTTGGGAAATTGATGTCTTGTCTCCTGAATGTGTCACTTAAGTGCCTTCTAACCTCTACACCACATACACAAACATCAGAGAGCATGGAAAGCTGGAAGGTCAAACAAACTAGTCTACTAAACACATAGCGAACACTGAATAACTGAGACATGCATATAGCAAACAGATTTTCTGGTCCTCAGTTTTTTCTTATATACACCTCCATCTTGAGTGGAGGGAGTCCACTTAAACCGAACATGGTTAATTGGAAAACAGCGGTTTACTGACAGATAATAAAATCCGGGATTTGGAGGGTTTTTTTCTTCTATTAGAGTAACCTCTCTGAATTGAAAATCTGGCTAAACTGAATGAAATTTGGCTGTCCTGAAGATTTTTAATTTAAGCGGACTCCACTGTATACTTTTTGTATTTAAAACAAGTAGGCTTATACAGTGAAATTTGTTTTGGTATGACTTTTATGACACTTGCAACACAATTATGTCATGTAAGTGCCAAAGGTTAGAGGTGCTAAATGAGAGTAAACACACAAAAAAAAGGAGGAGAGATATATTAGGATGACAGATGTTTGATAGGAAAAAAGAAGCAAACCACACCAGAGCACCCACCAACACTTGCAACACAACAAGGTCATATAAATGCCAGGAAAGATGATAAGTGTTACAAGAGAATAACAAATATTTAAAAAAACAAGCAGGAGAGATCGTGGGAGACAGATGTTTGAACGGAAAGAAGGAGTAAAATTCACATCAGGGCACCCACCCGCAAATCACCTACCCACTCACCTTGTCTACAAATCCTTCCGGCTCTTTGTGAGTAACCTGCACATCATGTAGCTGCTCCTCTGTCCTAAAACAATATGGGGGTGTGTGTGTGTGGGGGTGGGGGGGGGGAGTAATTAAATTCCTGCGTGTGGTTGAATGATGCGCATCTGATGTGATATGTCATAATATGTATATTTTGTCAGCTTCACTTTTCTTTTCATATTGAATTTTTATTGAGAGTAATATATAATTCAATTTTTATGTATACCTGTATATGTGCTTTTACAGTCCTGTACAGCCAAGAAAAATTTCCCTCTGGGACAATAACGTATTAGGTTATTTTATATTATCTTTTCTTATCGTATCGAAGCTGTCTAAGACCGTCATCCATTGTCGAAGAGAAAAGTGGCCTTATATATATATATATATATATATATATATATATATATATACATATATATATATATATATATATATATATACAAGTTATAAGACAGGTGGTAGTCTAACATTGGGTTTTTTCATTTTAAAAAACCCCAACAAACAAGAGGGAAATGGGAGCTAGATGTTTGTACAGGTGATTGTCTTATACCGTTAGAGCAGGTGTGACTGTAATTATTTTTCTAGAAAGTATTGAATTGACGTGCTCTCAAACTTCAGTTGTTTTTTTAAGTAAGATTTTTACATTATTTGCAACACAAACAGGTTATGTAAGTACCAAAGATTAGAAGTGTTACAAGAGAATAACATACCATGAAAGTAAAGAGAGATAAGGGCAATAGAACATGTTTGATGAGAAAGATAAGAAAGAAGGAGCAAACAGCACCAGATCACACGCTAACCACCCACAAATTTTCACTCAAAATGTTATAAAAACACAAAGACAAATTTACGACTAAATCAGATATATTATGTACCCTCTTATCCTTCTTTATCCATGTGCTTGCACGTATGTGTTGGCCTGTGTGTGTGTGTGTGTGTGTGTGTGTGTGTGTGTGTGTGTGTGTGTGTGTGTGTGTGTGTGAGAGAGATAGAGAGAGAGAGAGAGAAAGAGTGAGAGAGAATATTTGTGTTTGAATGTAAAAGAATGAGAAAATGTGTAATATATTAGAGTACGGGTGCTAAAATGCCTGCCTGTCTGTCTGTCTGTCTGTCTGTCTGTCTGTCTGTCTGTCTGTCTGTCTGTCTGTCTGTCTGTGTGTCAATCTGTGTGTTTGTCTGTCTGTCTGTTTGTCTGTCTATCTGTCCATCTGTCTCTCTCTCTCTGTCTCTCTGTTTGTCTCTGTCTCTCTTTATTTCTCTCTCTCTCTCCCTCTCTCTCTCTCTCTCTCTCTCTCTCTCTCTCTCTCTCTCTCTCTCTCTCTCTCTCTCTCTCTCTAAATCGTACACACCATATGGGATGAGGCAAGACGTAAGTTCCTATAGGAGGCATTTCTTTGTCCTTCTTTCCCTTATCTTGAACATCTGTTTTGGGAGTTTTCTCAAGAGCATCCTTGGTTCTGAAAAAGAAAAAAAATTCTTTCAGTTTTAGTTTTAGTGAGAGTTTTAGGGCACTTGCAACGCAAATAGCAGGTAATTTAAGTGACAAAGATTCGAGGTGTTACTGGAGAGTAACATGCAAAGAAAAGATGGTAGTCAGGTAAGGACGTTTGATGTTTGACAGGAAAGAATGAGCAAACCACTGACAAAGGTTTCATAAAGTTTTAAGAAAACAATATTTATGATTCTTGTTCTTCATGCTATTGGAAAGACGCTAACTCGCAACGAGATAGAAATAAGAGCACTCAAATCAAAGATTCTCAGCTAGTAGAAGAAAATCTTTGCTCAAACAATCGAGGAAAAAAACTGTTTCTCATTGGATGTTAGAGGAAGAAGTCACTCGGAAAAAAAGTTTTAAAAACAAGAAAGATTAGACAGAAATACAAGAACACAAATTACACACACACACACACACACACACACACACACACACACACACACACACACACACACACACACACACACACACACACACACACACACACACACTACAAACATACAAACATAAACACACAATTTAATTAAAGGTTTTCAACCAATGACTAGGACGAAAGAGCTAGAGCACCACAGCTTGATGATGACAAGGACGAAGAGAAATAAGACCGTGCAGGAAAAGAGAAAGATGTAATAGAAGAATTACAATAACATGCTTTTTTTAGTTTTAGTAAGAGTTTTACAGCATTTGCAACACAATAAGGTCATATAAGTGCCGAAGATTAGAGGTGTTACAAGAGTGTCATATATATACAAAAAGGAGGGGAGTTGCAGACGATAGACGTTGGATAGGATAGAAAAAAAAGGAGAAAACCACACCAGAGAACCCGCCAACCACCCACATAACATGTGAGACGCAACACTTGCTTGAAATGCACCAGGTTGCCAGGGTCCGGTATCGTATCAAAATCTCCCTTTCGATACTCGTCCACTTTTTCGTTGATTTCCTTTTTGTCTGCCAGACCTCGATATTGCTGAAAAAAAGACAATATTAATTGTGGAGAGCAATCAAAAGGCGAGATCCCATGAACAGACAGACAGACATATCTTTGACAAGCAGGTAGACAGATAGATAAGCTTAGACAGACACACAGACAGACAGACAGACAGACGGACAGACAGACAGACGGGGACATATTTACAAACATATCCTTGAGGAACAGGTAGACAGATAAATAAGCTTAGACAGACAGACAGATAGACAGAACATAACCTTTGACGAGCAGATTGTGATAGAGATCAAGGAGTTTAGAACTACTTTTAATCTCCTTGATAGAGATAGATAAACCTGGACAGACAGACAGACAGACAGACATATTTTTTATGAGCAGGCGGATAGATAGAAAAGCTTAGACAGACAGACATACAGACGGACGGACAGATGGACAGACAGACATGTGCAGACAAACAGACAAAATCTTTGACGAGCAGGCAGATAGATAGATAAGGTTAGACAGACAGACAGACAGACAGACAGACAGACAGACAGACACACAGACAGACACACAGACAGACACACAGACAGACAGACAGACAGAGAGACAGAGAAAGAAGTCACTGAAAAAATATCGTTCAACAAATTATGACAAAGAATCACTTAATACATAAACACATTGGTAGATCTCCTTTTCAAACTATCGGTTGCATTGATAAGTGTACGCGTGCACGTCCACTAGCACGCGCCAAGAGTGTGTGTGCGTGTGTGTGTGTGTGTGTGTGTGTGTGTGTGTGTGCGCGCGCGCGTGAGTGTGCGTGTATGTGTGTGTGCGTGTGTGAGTGTAAAAATATAACATTGCAGATATATGTCGACCCGAACACTTTAACTTTATGCAAACCGGGGAATTAAAGACCAAGTTTGCAAACACAAGTCAGCCTGGGCCATGCAAAAACACATTTGTACATCATGTATTATTATGCGACGCTACCAGAAGTGACGACATAATCATATGTCCCTAGCTAGCATTTAAATTCAGCACTTCTCTCTCTCTCTGTCTCTCTGTCTCTCTCTCTCTCTCTCTCTCTCTCTCTCTCTCTCTCTCTCTCTCTCTCTCTCCTCTTCGATTGCTTGCTCTCTTTCTTCTTCAGTCTCTCTCCTCTTCTCTCTCCTTTTCGCTCACATTTTCTCTCTCATTTTCTAGTTTTATATGGCTTTCCAAAAAACAAACACACACACATGCACACAAACACACACACACACAAACATGAATATACGCACAATATCTCATCTATCATCTCATATATAGCTTCCTACTCCTTCGTCTTTCTGCATGTGCATTCAATCACCCCCCCCCCCCCTTTTCTCATCTCTCTATCTCTCTCTGTCTCTCTCTCTCTCTCACTCACTTACACTCACACTACATACAAACACGCACACGCACACGCACATACATACACACAAACACACACACACACACACACACACACACATACACACAAACACACACACACACACAGACACACACACAAACGAAAACATACAAATACACTTACACACACACTTCAATCTATAAAATGAGCCCTGCAAGGCTTGAGTCCGATTGACTTTGATGTTCATGCATGATATATCGCAAATGGAAATCAGATGCTCTAATATTTATACAGATCAGTCAGGACAATTTACATGGAGCAGTAACTGTATGTATAATACCACACCTTACTCAAAGCCTCGCCCTGGCACTGGCACATTTGCGAATATTTTATTTAACCCACTTTTTTCTGTGCGAGTATGTTTGTGTAATTATGTGAGCGAGTGTGTGTGTATGTGTGTGTGTGTGTGTGTGTGT